GCTCGGGTTTGGATTCCCGAAAAACGAACCCGAGCTAGCCCCTGACCCGAGTTACCCCTGATGATTCGGGGCTCTGAGCTCGGGTCCGGGGTAGCTCGGGTTTGGATTCCCGAAAAACGAACCCGAGTTATCCCTGACCCGAGTTACCCCTGATGATTCGGGGCTCTGAGCCTCGGGTCCGGGGTAGCTCGGGTTTGGATTCCCGAAAAACGAACCCGAGTTATCCCTGACCCGAGTTACCCCTGATGATTCGGGGCTCTGAGCTTCTGTGTGTCCCTGGGTCCCCTCCGCTTACGGTCGGGCAAAAATCTGCGCCACGCGTCGCGCCGCGGGCTTTGTACCACCATACGCTTCGGCGCGACACGCTCAGCCTCGATCCAAGGACGAAGGATTGCAAAAAAACCCTTCGTTTGCAATCCTTCGTTTTTTGCAATCCTTCGTTTTTTTGCAATCCTTCGTTTTTTGCAATCCTTCGTTTTTTTGCAATCCTTCGTTTTTTGCAATCCTTCGTTTTTTGCAATCCTTCGCCCCGAGCGTCAACGCTCCGAGCTGCTCCCAGCCTCCCGCCACAAGGAGCGGAGCGACACGCCATCCGCCTGCAGGGCACAGGCGTGTCGCCAGGGCCTCCGCCGCAACACGCTGAGCAAACGTTCCCGAATGTCTGTCGGAGGCGAGTCCGGGGGGGAAGTGAGAAGGGGCGGGCCCTCTCAGAAGGCTCAGAAGTCTCCCCGGCCTTCTATGAACTGTCCTAGAAACTTCACCCGGAGACATGGAGACCCTCTCCGAAGGTGGGGGGGAATCTGACAAGTCCCGCCGCCTCCTGAGAAGGCCTTCGCCTTCTCCCTTCCCCCCTCCTCGCTCGCCGCCAAACTGCGGGGCCCCCGGGAAGTCCTAACCCCTTCCCCAAGGTTGGCTTTTCAGCCCGACTCTCGTTCTTGACCGTCCCTGGGGCTGGCGAGGGCCGCCAGCATAGGGCGCCGAAGACTGCGAGACACGTCCTTCCCGTGCTCCTGTGGTTCCCGAGCGAGCACGTCTGCGCAGCGCCCCCCGCGAAACGCCACGACCAGAACCCGGGGCCCCATCTTCCTGCCGCACCTTTTTAGTGGCTTCTCGGGTGGCGTCGGAGCAGACGGGGTCCGAGGGTCGCGCCGCACCGCCGAGCCATGGCGATGTTATCGGCGATGCATCGGTGATGCCCCTGCGGTGCATGACCGACGTCACCGACGCATCAGCGACGTCGGCGTCGAGAGAATCGGACTCCACATCGAGCTGCAGCCCCGAAGCAGCAGCGATGCGGCGCGATGCTCCGCTTCCATCTGCTCCGACCCCATCTGGGAGGCCTGGCAGAATTCCTCGAGCCCGACCGATCCGTGAGGGTCCTGGGGCCCGATAGGCCCGGCCCTGCGCAGACACGCGCCGTGAAGAAGTTGCAGTGCCAGGTTAGATGCTCGTTCTGGGAACCCTCCTGGAGCCAATCGCTCCACTCGTGCGTCGAAGCTGCGGCGTCGAACTTCCGTCGACTCGAGTCGAAGCCGAGTCGAAGCCAAGTCGAAGCTGAGTCGAACCTGAGTTGAACCTGAGTCGAGCTTGAGTCAAACTTGAGTCGAACCTGAGTCGAACCTGAGTCGAACTGGGATCGAAGCAGAACCGAACTAGAGTCGAACCAGAGTCGAGCAGATCCGTTCCAGGAAGACCCCCACCACGACGAAGCGGGGAACTCCGGGGAGGTCAGGGCCCCTTGAAGGCCCTGCGCAGACGCCCGCCGTAAAGAGCAGGAGGGATGAGGAAGGAGGAGAGAGGAAGGCGGGAGGAGGCGGGAGGGGGAGGGAGGAGGAGGGAGGAGGGAGGAGAGGGGAGGAGGACAAGCCAGGTGCGCTCGCGTCATATTTGACGTTCTGCCCCTCCCTCCCCATCCCTTGCCATGGCGTAGATTTCCTCTCTGTTCGCACAATCGGATATAATAGCTTGGCATAATTAACATTGCATGGCGTAGCATGGTGTTGGAGATCAACGCGTAGCATGACATAGCATGGCGCGGCGACGCCCAAAGGGGGGGGGGGGGCTCCTGCGGCCCAACAATATCAACGAATCGACACCAAATGTGGGGAACCAATTCCGATGGTTTCGGGAGGCCGCTTTCTACATTTGGGGCCTATTTGGAAGGACCGAGAACCATGCCGCGGCATGGCGCTGGAAATAATGACGCCAACGCTGCAACGTGAACACGATTCGGAACGAGCGGAAGCGCGGAAATGAGGCCAGCGCTGCAGCGGGAGCACGATTCGGAACGGGCGGTAGCCCGAAAATGAGGCCAGTGCTTCGCAGCTTTTTGAAAACAAACCAAGCGCGGCCGTGCGGCAATGAGGACGCGTGCGTGGCGACGCCCCAAAAGGGGGGTCTGTTGCGGCCCCAAGAACCAACGAATTGGCACCGAATGTGTAATCACTTCCAGTGTTTTTTTCGGAGGGACATGTTCTGCATGCTGATGCCTATTTGCATGGCGCTGGAAATAATGACGCCAGCGCTGTAGCGGGAACGCGATTCGAAGCGAGCGGAAGCGCGAAAATGAGGCCAGCGCTGCAGCGGGAGCACACAATTCGGAACGAGCGGTAGCCCGAAAATGAGGCCAGCGCTTCAGCGAGAGCAACATATTGAAAACAACTGAAAACGGAAGCGCGGAAATGAGGACGTGCAGCCTGGCATAGCATGGCGTGGCGACGCCACAAAGTGGGGGGGGGCTTTCGCGGCCCAACAAATCAACGAATCGACACCGAATGTGGAATCACTTCCGATAGATTTTTTCGGGGGGGAGGGTATTTCCTTGATTTGGGAGCCTGTTTGGAAGGACCGAAGAACATGCCGTGGCATGGCACTGAAAATAATGACGCCAACGCTGCAACCAGAGCACGATTCGGAACGAGCGGGAGCGCGGACATGAGGCCAGCGCTGCAGCGGGGGCACGATTCGGAACGAGCGGTAGCCCGAAAATGAGGTCAACGCACCAGAGAAGGCAACATCTTGAGAAAAAAAACACAGCCCAAGCGAAAACCCGTTTCCCGGGAATGCTGTGCTAACATTCTCCCGGCAAAGCAACCCAACAGCGATGTGTAGGAGCATATCTGGAAGCATTCCCCTTAAGATCCAGATGAGAATCCAGGGTCGCCTACTGTTCTCAAAGTCGCAGTCGCATTCGCGATGACAATCGCAGTGGCAACGGCAGTCGCAGTCACAGCCTCAGCCTCAGCCTGCATCAGCCTCAGCCTGCCTCAGCATCAGCCTCAGCCTGCCTCAGCCTCAGCCTCAGCCTGCTTCAGCCTCAGCCTCAGTCTGCCTTCAGCCTCAGCCTGCCTCAGCCTGCCTCAGCCTCAGCCTGCTGCCTCAGCCTCAGTCTGCCTCAGCCTCAGCCTCAGCCTGCCTCAGCCTCAGCCTCAGCCTCAGCCTCAGCCTCAGCCTCAGCCTGCCTCAGCCTCAGCCTCAGCCTGCTTCAGCCTCAGCCTCAGTCTGCTTCAGCCTCGCCTCAGCCTCAGCCTGCCTCAGCCTCAGCCTCAGCCTCAGCCTCAGCCTGCCTCAGCCTGCCTCAGCCTCAGCCTGCCTCAGCCTCAGCCTGCCTCAGCCTCAGCCTCAGCCTGCCTCAGCCTCAGCCTCAGCCTGCAGCCTCAGCCTCAGTCTGCCTTCAGCCTCGGCCTCAGCCTCAGCCTGCCTCAGCCTCAGCCTGCATCAGCCTCAGCCTCAGCCTCAGCCTGCAGCCTGCAGCCTCAGCCTCAGCCTCAGCCTGCAGCCAGCCTGCCTCAGCCTCAGCCTCAGCCTCAGCCTGCCTCAGCCTCAGCCTCAGCCTGCTTCAGCCTCAGCCTCAGTCTGCCTTCAGCCTCGGCCTCAGCCTCAGCCTGCCTCAGCCTCAGCCTGCATCAGCCTCAGCCTCAGCCTCAGCCTCCTTAGCATCAGCCTGCCTCAGCCTCAGCCTCAGCCTGCCTCAGCCTCAGCCTCAGCCTGCTTCAGCCTCAGCCTCAGTCTGCCTTCAGCCTCGGCCTCAGTCTCAGCCTGCATCAGCCTCAGCCTCAGCCTTGCCTCAGCATCAGCCTGCTCAGCCTCAGCCTCAGCCTCAGCCTCAGCCTCAGCCTGCTTCAGCCTCAGCCTCAGTCTGCCTTCAGCCTCAGCCTCAGCCTGCCTCAGCCTCAGCCTGCCTCAGCCTCAGCCTGCCTCAGCCTCAGCCTCAGCCTGTCTCAGCATTCAAAATGTGGCCCGGGAATACAGTTCTTGGAACTCGAAGAGCACGAAGTGGCCTACAGTTGGCTCCGGGCATTCAGCATCATGCCCAAGAGTGGACTTCTGGGAACTCGAAGACCACGAAGTGGCCTACAGTTGGCTCCGGGCATTCAAAATCAGACCCAGGAATGGACTTCTGGGAACTCGAAGACCACAAAAAGGCCTACAGTTGGCTCCGGGCATTCAAAATCATGCCATAGGAATGGACTTCTGGGAACTCGAAGAGCACGAAGTGGCCTACAGTTGGCTCTGGGCATTCAAAATGTGTCCCGGGAATGGAGTTTTTGGGAACTCGAAGAGCACGAAGTGGCCTACAGTTGGCTCTGGGCATTCAAAATGTGGCCCGGGAATGGAATTCTGGGAACTCGAAGAGCACGAAGTGGCCTACAGTTGGCTCCGGGCATTCAGAATGTGGCCCGGGAATGGAGTTCTGGGACCTCGAAGACCACGAAGTGTGTAACTGTTTGCTTAAAACGACGTCCGCGGCTTCTCCCCGGCACCCGCCCAGACCCCCCTGGGGAGTCAAGATGATCTCTTTTGACACTACTAGAAACCTATCAGTCTTCGCTGTTAGGTAAAAACAGCACGCGGAAGGGGGGCTCTATATAGTTCCCAGACGCCACCAGGGGAGAGAGGAGAGCAGTATTCAGATCGTGTAGTTGTGGAAGGAGGAGGCAGGAGGGAGGAGGAGGGCGGAGGAGGGCGGAGGAGGCCAGGAACTCAGGGGAGGTCTGGGCTCATGCTGCGTTCTCGTCTCCGGTCTCCGCCGCCGCGGCCGCGGCCTCGCGGGCCGCTCTGCCGTCGGCCTCGTGCCGGGACAGCTCCTGGCGGAGGCGGTCCAGCTCCGGCCGCAGCGCGGCCAGCTCCGCCCGGGCGGCCCCCAGCTGCTCCTCCCGCTGGTCCTCTTGGGGGCCCCGGCACGGCGGGACGCACAGAGACATGCTGGTACTAGATGTCCTGCTTGGAGGCGCGCGTCCGACCCGCACACACAGTATTCTTGCAGTAGATCGTTTCCCGAGCGGCGTGGACAGAAATCGCCCGCCACGACGCATATACTGCATGCAAGGTTTCTCGGTGCGCGCGTCGCCCCTGGGGGGGGGCGACCCACATATCAGTATGTTGGGGTGACGCAGATTGGGGGCCCCAGCAATCCCCCGCTCTTGTGAAGAACCTGCTGGAGGCCTCGCGCCGCAACCTGATGCCGGGTTCACGGCGGATTACGTCCGAGAACCGCCGCGCGAACGTCGTCCTGCGGACTGGATAACGCAACTATCACGCCCTGCGCGAGTTCTCTAGGATTTTTCTCACAGTTTGGGGGTGCCAGACACGCCCCACTTCCTCTGGTTGCGAAAAGCGACGGCGGACAATGTTTGACCATTTTCGGACTCCTGGGGCCCTCACCAAGCCCCGAGACCGTCAAAACCGGCCCAGATCACAAAGGAAAGGGTTCTGGGAGAGGGTCGGAATTACCGTGCGGTGACCTCGAGATCCCCAACGACCTCACCGCAAGGTTGGTCATCGCTCGGTCTGGGGACCGTGGCGGCCCAAGTGGCCCGAGAGGTCCTCGGAGAACGGCCAAGTCCCAACGTTAGGTCGGGCAAGTCCTCCTACAGGCGGAGTTAGGAGTTAAGATGACAAAAGAAGGCAACGTAGTCAAAACATATTCAAACATACTCTGGGTTTCTTAATAAACGTGAGGGGTGGTACCCCCCCCGACGGGGGTCAATCTCGCCTCGTCGTCGCGCCGCGACCGGGTTCGGAGCGCCTTCGGCGCGCGGTGGCTGCCCGCGACGGGGGTCGATGTGTGGCTGTCAGCGGGGGTGACCCCCCCCCCACGCTTATTCAGAAACCCAGGGTAGTCAAAGGAACACGAAAAATCGCCACCCGACTCTTTTGCTACTATTCTTGGAAACTCTTCCTGTAGAGCAGGCGTGCCCGACTCCATCCCCACACCGTGCGGGCACCGGACGGTGTGGTCACCGCGCCTGGCCTGCCAGTCCTCGTCGCCGCCGCCGTCGCAGCGAGGGGCCCCGAGGCAGAAAGCTGCTAGACATCTGCCTTCGCGTCGGCGCTTCGCGGCGCGAGGGGCGGTCTGGCTGTCCCGCCGCACAGCTGGGGCTTCCGGGGCCCCGTCCGGGACGCGCCGGGCACCCCAGGGGGCGCCCTCGACGAGGCGCAGCAGCTGCTGGAGAGCATCATGAGGCCTGGAAGTCCTTGCAGGGTGTCAAGAAGGGAACGCAGTCGCGCCGTCGGCGGCGGGGCCATGGACGCCGCCGGCGCCGCCCGCCTTCGTCGCCACCGCCTTCGCCGCCGACGCCGTCTCTGTTGCCGCCATCGCCGCCGTCGTTACCGCCGTCGTTGCCGCCGCCGCCGTCCGCTAGCAGGTGCAGCTCGGCGCACCTGGCGTTGGACGCGGCAAGCTCCCCTCGTAGGGCACCGGCCTCCTGCTGGGCCGCCTGCTGGTCCAACCTGGGAGAGGGGTCCGACGCCCGCCACCGCCGTCGCCCTCCTCTTCCTCCTCCTCCTCCTCCTCCTCCTCCGCTCCTCCTCCAAATTCCTCCTCCTCCTCCTCCTCGCGAGCCTTTGCCTTCGCCGTCGCCTTCTTATCCGTTTCCTGTTCGCCCTTCTCCTCCTTCTCTTCCTCCCTCCCGCCCTCTCTCCTCTTCCCCCCCTTCTGCTGTTCCTCCCCTTTTCCCTCCTCCTCTTCCGGCTTCGCCTCCCCCTGCTCCTCTTCTCTCCCCGCCCCGACTCCCTCCTACGTCTCCACCGCCGCCGCCGTCCTCCTTCTCATCCTCAGGGCGCAGGAAGGCTAGCTGTTGCAGCAGGATGGAAGAGGGCATTGGTGCACCTGTCAACATGCTGCCACCTCCGACGGCGTTTTTACCTTTCCTGCCTCATTCCCTCCCCCCTCACCTCCCCCCTCGCCTCACCCCCCCCCTTCCTCCTGAGGTTGCGAGCGAAACTCCCGCCTCGGTCTCGGCCCGCTCCAGGAGAGATCGCCATGGGTCGTCTCAAGGGCCAGGGCCCGCATGTTTGGCGATCTCTCGGCCTGAGCTGGCAGATCTTGCAGCTAGAAGCCGCAAGGTTGGAATAGAGAGGGTCAGATTCCTTCTAACCCGCGGGCAGCTGGACTCGTCACGTGTCGAGTCGCAATCTCAATGTCCTCTCCCGTCCCTCCAGATTGCGCCACTCCCGCTCCCCCCCCCGCTCCAAAGGCGGAGGCTTTCTCTCTTCATGGCTCGGACGTCGATGCCCCGTGCATTTATCGGCTTCGCGCGTGCATGTGTTCTGCAAGATGACCTCAGATGCTCCTCGATGGCCCCTGCCGAGACAGAAGTGCGCGCGTCCGACCGATGCCGAGCTCTCTCCCCCGCGCAGCCTGCAGAGGCCCAGCTGCTGCTGCAGCTCCTCCACCCGGCCGTCGGCGGCCTGCTGCGCCGGCCCGGCGTCCGCCCGCGCGAGGCCGCCGAGGAGCTCCTGGCACTCGGAGCGCGCCTGCCCGAGCTCCCGGGCGGAGCGCCGCTGCGCCTCCTGCGCGGCTCGCAGCTCCTGCCGCGCCTGCGACAGCTCCGCGCCCGCCGCCTCGCTCTGCCCGCACAGCTCGGCCCGGGCCTCCTGCGCCGCCCCGCGCGCGGCCGCGAGCTCCCCCGCGAGGGCGTCGCGGGAGCCGTCGCCCTGCGCGAGGGCGGCACTCAGCTCGGACTGCAGCGCGCCCACGCGCTCCGCCTCCTGCCGCAGGTCGCCGTCGCCGTCGCCACCGCCGGAGCATCGCTGCGCCAGCGCCACCGCCGGATCATCGCTGCGCCTCGGCCCCACGCTGTGCCCTTTGGTAGGTGCGGGGCCTGGCCCCGCCTTGGGGGGTGGGCTGGCGGGGCTGAGGAATCCGGCCTGCCCCAGTGGGAATGGGGATCGGTGCAACGATGCTGACCGCCAACGCCGCCGCCGCCGTCGTCTCGAAGGGCCAGTTGGGAAACCGTCGGCTCTGCCGCCGAGGAGAAGGAGGAGGAGGAGGAGGAGGAGGATGAGGAGGAGGAGGAGTGAGGAGTAGGAGGAGGAGCGAGGAGCGAGGAGCGAGGAGCGCGGACGAGGAGGAGGAGGAGGAGGAGGAGGAGGAGGAGGAGGAGGAGGAGGAAGGAGGAGAATTAGGAGCGAGCGAGGAGGAGGAGCGAGGAACGAGGAGGAGGAGGAGCGAGGCGGAGCGAGGAGGACGATGAGGATGAGGTGGAGGAGGAGGAGGACGAGGAGGAGGAGGAGGAGCAGCCAGACCCCCCAGAGGTGCCTGCTGGCTTGTTCTTCTCAACACAGAGCCGGCCGTGGCGGCGAGCAGGCCCCAGGAGGTCCGCAGGCGATTGATGAGCGTCAGTGCTAGGTCGGGCATGCCCTCCTACAGGCGGACCTTGGACGACAAATCCAGAAGAGTCACAAAATACCCAACAATAGTAGGAACATCGATCCCAGACGATTTGCCTATTTTTGAACATGCCTCCTGTAGAGGGGCATTCCCGACTTCACGACAGTGGGGGGGCGGGGGGCGGGGTCGCCGCTGCCTCGACTGGCCCTCCCCCGAGCGTCGCCGCCGCGGCGCGCGGCTCCTGCTCCCGCATGCGCGTCACGGTGGCGCGGGCCTTCTCCTGCGAGCAGGGGGTCGACTACGGAATGGAATCACCCCAGAGCTGCCTTTGCGCCGGGTCCATTGACACAGAAAGACAAGTAGAATGCTCGCACAGACGCAACGGGAATCCGATGTCCTGTCCCCGTAGACTCGACGGGAGTGTCACTGCTTGGGGTGGATCGATTCTGCAGTCGATCCCCTGCTCGACTCCTGGAGGCTCGTCAGGGCCTCCTGGAACGACCTGCTCTGAGCCTCGCTGTCGACCTGGGCCTGCGCGAGCTCGGCGGCCAGGTGCTCGGCCTTCTCGCCAGCCTGGGAGGCGGCGCCGGCCTGCACGAGCTCCTGGGCATGTTGGCGGCGCGCGCAAGGGGGGTGGGGTCAGGGGGGAAGGCTTCTTCGCAGGAGACTGCTGCTTAGAAAACGCGGGTCTTCCATCTGCATGCCCGCGCCTTCTGAGAAGCCGGGGAGCTTCTAAGAGCCCCCCCTCTGCGCGTGGCCGAGCATGGTGATACAGGAAGCGCGTACTACAAGAAACCTCGCTACAAGAACCCGTGGGGCACATTCTTCGTCGAGCCTTGATGGTCATAAGGTGCCCCAGCTCGTCTGCATGCCCTTGGGGCACTAGCTGGAAAGCAACATCCTGATGTGATGTCCCTGCTGCACGTGGTGCCTATCCTGTCCCCATGCCGGCCTAGGTTCTGCCACGACGCCAGCCTGCCGCCTCCAGAGGGGAGCAGGCGCCACGGAGCCCGACGGAAACTGCACCTACTATCCACAACCCAGTGAGGTCGGCCAGCGGGGGCAACGTCTCCCGCATGGGGACGGGGATTGGTCGATGGATGCCGAGCTCCTGCGCCTCCTGCGCGGCTCGCAGCTCCTGCCGCGCCTGCGACAGCTCCGCGCCCGCCGCCTCGCTCTGCCCGCACAGCTCGGCCCGGGCCTCCTGCGCCGCCCCGCGCGCGGCCGCGAGCTCCCCCGCGAGGGCGTCGCGGGAGCCGTCGCCCTGCGCGAGGGCGGCACTCAGCTCGGACTGCAGCGCGCCCACGCGCTCCGCCTCCTGCCGCAGGTCGCCGTCGCCGTCGCCGGAGCATCGCTGCGCCTCTTCCCCGCCGGCATGGCCTCGGCCCCACTGGCCAACATGCCCCCCTAGATGGACACATGCGCTGTTCCCCCGCGAGGGAATCGCTCAGCCCTGACTCCAGCTTGCCCGCGCGCTCCTCTACAACGGACACGCGTGCGACAAGAGATCTGGCTGCAAGGGATCGGAGGGGCGCGTCCGTCGTCGAGCCTTGAGCTTCCCGATGTTCCCCGTCGGGGCTTCCGTGGGCGCTCCAGGGCCATCGGGGGATGACAGACTTCCGCCAGGCATCTGCTGGCAGGCGGGATTCTAAATTGCCGTGCCAGCAGAAGGGTCGTGCCCACCGCCGCCGTGGCCTGGGGCAGAGCCATCCTGGGCCCTGGGCGTTGTGTTCGCGCCCGCCTGGCCGAGGCCAGGAGGGTCGCTGCAGGCAGGCTGCTAAAATGCGGATTGCCGAAACAGAGACGAGGCGCCTCTTACTGATAGGCAGGGCTATATAAATGAAATGAGTGAGATACATACTTATGCACATAAAGATACATGTTAGACAGCAAGGGCCCTACACAGTGTTACTATCAACATAGGTGTTGTGCAACATATGTGGTGCAAGTTATGTTGTAAAATATGTGGCTTGCCATATATAGTGTGCACAACAAGTGTCACCCATGAGGTACACCATAGGTTGCGCAAAACATATGGAGCAATACATGTGGTGCGATCTATGTGATGCAGTCTATGGTGAGCAATTAATTTCTGTTCGCAGTGAGTTGTCCACTCCACTGCTCGCGCAAACATCCCACCCACCCACCCGCAACTTGGTTTGCAAAATCTCTTGAGACCGTGACGGTGGGTACCACATGGCACTTGGCGACAACAGCGACGCCGACGACGACAGCGACGATGACGACGCAACCGACACCGACTACGACGACACCGACGACGTCTCCAACGACTTCGACGACGCCGACAACGACGACGACGACGACGACACCGACGACGACGACGACGACGACGACGACACCGACGCCGACGACGACGATGACAACGACGACGACGATGACGACGCCGACGACGACGATAACGACCACACCGACGACGACGACGACGTCAACGACGCTGACGACGACGACGACGACGGCGGCGACGATGACGACGCCGACGTCGACGACGACGAAGACGACAACGACGCAAACGACGACGACGAAGACGACGACATCGCCAACGAAGACAACGAGGAAGGAGGGAGGACGACGACGGCGACAACGACGACAACGACGAGGGAGGAGGGAGGACGGCGACGACGCGAACGACGAAGAAGGAAGAAGGACGGCGACGCCGACGACGGCAACGACGAGGGAGGAGGGAAGACGACGACGACGACGACGACGACGACGACGACGACGACGGCGACGAAATAGGAGGGACGACGACGAGACGCCGACGACGGACGACGACGACGACGACGAGGGAGGAGGAGGAAGGACGACCACGGCGACAACGTCGACGGAAACGACCGCGACGCCAAAGAGGACGACGAGGACGACGACAACGACGCGGGAGGAGGGAGGACGGCGACGACGACGACGACGACGCAAGAGCGCGCGCGCACGCTTTTGTTGAGAATCCGTATTGCGAAACCTTGTGTTTTTGTAGGTTTTTTGGACACACGATTTTGACATCCTTCCGAAACCAATGGGTTTTGAAGGTTTTCGGCATACGCGCGCGACGACGCGCGCGTCTGCACTTCGTCCCGTTTTTTGCAATGGATTCTCGCGACGGCACACGCGCGAGGGCGTTCGACAGATTTCGACATGAGCGCGCGCGAAGCCCGTGTGGTAGAATTTTGTGAAAATCTTGAAAAACCTATGTTTTTTTGTCAAAAAAAAGATTTCGCAAGAGCTTTCGCAGAGGCTGTTTTAGCAATTCTGTGTTGCCAAACCCTTTGTTTTTGTATGTTTTTTGGAAGCTCGATTGCGAAATCCTTCCGGCACCGAAGGTTTTTGATGGATTTCGGCATGCGCGCGCGACGACGCGCGCGTGTGCACTTCGTCCCATTTTTGGCAAGGGATTCGTGAAAAAATGCGATGTTAGAACAAAACATGTCACCGCATAGTGTTTTTTTACAAGGGGCCCTCAGGGGGGGGAAACCGGCCTGCCTGGGATGGTATGATTTCATATTTAGGATGGACGAATGTGCAGAATACATATGAAAATATACTATCCCAGGGGGAAGCGTTAAGTCCGGGGGGGTAGAGTCTATTCTCTTTTTAGAAAGGAGAATACATGGTGTGGTGCGATATATGTAGTGCGAACTATCTGAAGTAACCACTGCAAGCAACACATATGTAGAATACCATATGTAATGCGATCGTCGTTGTGCAACGTATTTGGTAACATGTATGTGTAACGCGTGCTCTGTCCTGTAGATTGAGCAATGTATTTGGTGCAATGTAGTTCGTGCGCTCTGTGTGTTGCAGTATATGTGGTGTCATCTACAAGTTGCAACATAAGTTTTGCAATCTATGTGGAGCAACCGACGTGGTGCAATGAGTGCGGTGCAATCCTGGTCGTGCAATCGATGGTGTGCAGCATGCGTTGAACAACTTATGTGGCGCAACCTATGTGGTGCAATCGAGGTTTCGCAATCAGTGTAAACCATGCTGTGCGATGTATGTGGAGCGCCATGCATATGGTTGCAATCAATGTGGTGCAATCTATGTTGTGCCATCTATATTGTGCAACATTTGTTTTGCAATCTATGTGGGGCGGCGACGTGGCGGCAACGGCAGCAACCAGCGCGGCGACCCAAAGACAGGCCCAGACGATGGGCGGCGACGTGGCGGCGACGGCGGCAACAAGCGTGGCGACCTAGAGACGCCCAGACGACGGGCGGCGACGAGGCGGCGACGTGGCGGCGACGGCAGCAACACGCGCAGCGCCCCACAGACAAGCCAAGACGACGGGCGGCGACGAGGCGGCAACGGGGCGGCGAAGGCGGCAACATAGCCGCCAGACCCAAACACAGACCCAGTGCAACAGTAAGACGTAAGAACCCCTAAGTGCAAACACTGTTTGGGAAATCTGTCGATATGCCTGTGTATATAAAAGTATGCACATACGTATCTTTTGCTAAGTAGTGGTTGCACTCAAAAGGGCCTAGCGGATACTAAAGCTTTGACGGAAAAACCGCGCCGATTTCGGTAAACGGCCAGGATCCCCAAGTTCCAGGTTCTTGGTTCCCGTGTTCCGGATTCTGGACAGATTTCTGTGGGCGGCGGGGTTCCCCGGTTTCCAGGTCCCTGGTCGATCTTCTTATCGATCGGTCTCACCATCGATCTCACTACCCACCTCTCTATTGATCTCAGAATCGATCCCACTATAGATCACACGAACGATCTCACGATCGATCTCATAATCGATCTCACTGAATTGACTTCACGATTGGTCTTACTATCGACCCTACGATCGTCCTTACAATCGATCCCACATTCGGTCTCACTATCGGTCTTACAATCGATTTCAATCTCCATATCACAAAATTTCAAATCATCCACCGATTCGGTTTTCTCTCTGGTGTAATTATTCCCAAATCATTGCTTGCACTGAGATTGAAGCGGAGATTGAGGGCATTGGCGAAAACAACGGGCCGATTTCGGTAGGCGTCCGGGTTCCCGGTTCCGGGTTCCTGGGTTCCCGGTTCTGGGCCGATTTCGGTGGGCGGTGGGGTTCCCCGGTTTCTGGTCGATCTCCTTATCGATCGGTCTCACCATCAAGCTCATTAACTACCTTATCGATCTCGCGATCGATCTGACAATCGATCTCACTATCAAAATCAAAATCAATCCCACTATAGATCACACAAGCGATCGCACGATCGATCTCACGAACGACTTATCCATATCCACAGTGTGGATCAGACCTCCTCGGACGTCAGCGGGCGCACGCCATGGACACGTTTGTGCAGATCCACCGCCTGCCGAGGTCCCTGAAACCCCGCCTCGGATTCGTGGGCTGGGTGCACGCGGGGGGCTGAGGAACGACCGGGCGGGAGCGGGCGGGAAGATGGGCGGGCAGCACCAGGGAGGGGGGGACGAGGCGGGAGGAGCAAGAGGACGGAGAAGGAGGAAGAGGAGACGAAGGTGCAGAAGAAAGTAGACGAGAGGGAGGGGGAGGGGGGGGGAGAGAGGAGGAGGAGGCGGAGGCGGAGACGGAGGGGGAGAAGGAGGAGAAGGAGGAGGTCGAAGAGGAGACGTAGGAGGAGGAGGTCGAAGAGGAGGAGGGGGAGGGGGAGGAGGAGGAGGAGAGAGGAGGAGGAGAGAGGAGAAGAGAGGGGGGGCCATACGTCCTTGGGCGGACCCAGGGTGGCCCTGGCTACGCATGGTGGAGTGCAGGAGCATTCCAAGGATCCCTCCTTCGCAAGTGCGGCGCTCAGCTCGGACTCCAGCACGCCCACGCGCTCCTCCTCCTGCTGCAGGTCGTCGTCGTCGTCGTCGTCGTCGCCGTCGCCGTCGCCGTCGCCGTCGCCGTCGCCGTCGTCGCCGCCGCCGCCGCCCTCACCGTCACCGCTGCCGCCGTCTCCGTCGTCGCCGCCGCCGTCCTCGCAGGCGTCGCCGTCGCCGCAGCCACTCCTGCTCCCGCATGCGCGTCACGGTGGCGCGGGCCTTCTCCTTTGGAGGCCTCCCAAACTACGTCCGAGCAGACGAGAACAGAGGATCAATCGCGCCGCATCGTCGACGCATCGGCCATGATCGGCAGTGCGGCTCGATGCTCCGACTCCATCGCCAAGGTTTCCCCCCTCGATTAGTTTTCGGGCTGAAACTCGGGCCTCGCAAGGCCGTTCGGGACGACTCCCGCGTTCCTGGAACTCCTTGGACGAGGCGCCGCTGATATACACCTCCCCAGGCCCCGAGAACCTTCGCAGATCCCCGGAAACCTCGAAACCTTGGAGACATGGGGCCCGCGATCCTCTCCGCACCACTTTCAGGAGCGTCCCAAGAGGGTGCGGCCAAGAGGGGGGGGCGCAAGTTATGAGACGAGGCACGTGCACGGACGAGGGGCGGGGGACCAGGGGTCGCGTTGAAAGAACAAGAGAAGAGGTGACGGGCCTGTCCATAAGCTGGAGGGGGAGGGGGTCTTCCTCCTCCTCCTCCTCCTCCTCCTCCCCCTCCTCCTCCTCCACCTCCTCCTCCACCTCCTCCTCCACCTCCTCCTCCTGCTCCTCCTCCTCCTCCTCCTCCTCCTCCTCCTCCTCCTCCACCTCCTTCCCCCCTTCGCATTACGGTGGTGGTGGTGGAAAACAGGCCCATCAAGAGGGGCCATGAAATCTGCAGAGATTCATGGCCCCGGCCAGGCTCTCCACCCCTCTTGTAGCCATCGCCGTTCTCTTCGCCACCCCCGACATTGTAGAGAACCCAGACGCGGCATAAACACGAGCATTCGGAGGTCCACACGAAATTCTTAGATCGGCGCTGGACCCCATTTCGCGCGGAGCGCGCCCAGGGCGGCGCCGCCAGCGGGGCCCAGGCGCCGATCCAAGAAATCCACGCGGAATCCGTGCTTACGCGGTGCTACAGCTGGACGAGGACAGAAGAACATCCTTCAAGAGCATGAGGCCCTCCGCTGGTCCGTGCTGAAGAATCTTCGAGGGTGCCCCCCCCCAGGATGAACAAGATCATCCGACATGCGCGAAGAACATAAGCACATCCTCCCCGAACCGAACTCAAGCTTAGACCCCGGTCCGGCCGCATCTTCGCCGATGGGTCCTTGAGGGCAGCGAAGGCCTCCTGGTACGTCCTCAGAGGCCTCCTAGATGGTGTCCGGGTAGATGGGGTCGGAGGCTCGCACCGCATCGGCAATGCATCGGCGACGCATCGGCGACGCATCGGCGACGTCGGCGTAGAGTAAATCTCGGCTACACGCAAGAGTGACCCTGGGTAAGAGTGACCTTTGGTGCGCGACTTTTTGGGAGCCGCGGGGTGACCAAACACAGGCGCGCAAGACGCTACCAGCGCATCGATTTCGGAGATCGGGGAACCCCAGTGTTCCCGCACCAATAGTCACTCCGGCGAAGGGTCACTCTTACGTCTAATCGGCAATCGGGCTCCACATCGAGCCGCATCTCCGATGTATCGGCGATGCGGCGCTGTCCTCCGACCCCACGTGCTCCGCCCCCATCGGGGAGGCCCGGAGTCCTGCCCTGCGCCTCGCTGTCGGCCTGGGCCCGCGCGAGCTCCGCGGCCAGGCGCTCGGCCCTCTCCTCGGCCTCCGCCGCCATCGGTGCGGCGCCGCCGGGCAGGGGCGCCGTGGAGTTGGGGTGCGCCTGGGCGCGCGGGAGGCAGCTCGTCTGTGGAGGCCACCCGGGCTGCGGGGCAAAGAAAGAATCCGAGTGCGAACGCTGGCACCCAAGTCTGGGGACCTTCCTGGAGCCACTCGCTCCGCTCGTGCGTCGAGGCTGCGCCGAACTTCCATCGATTTGAGTCGACCCTGAGTAGGAGCCTGAGTCGAACCTGAGTCGAGCTCGAGTCGGACTTGAGCAGAACTCGAGTCGAACCTGACTCGAACTGAAGTCGAAGTGGGGTCGAACAGATCCGTCAAGTCGGCCCCAGGAGTGTCCCCAAAACGAGCATCCAAGAGTCGGGGATGGACAGAACCCCCTTTAGTAAAACGTGTTTTAGTGAAAACGACCTCGGGCCCAAATCTGGCGGGCGAAAATCTGAACCGAAAACGGACCCCCGAAAGAGCATGAGAACGGGGCCCTCCGCGAGCTGCAGTTCCTGCCCCAGGCGGAGGCGACGGCCGACGGACCGGGCCCCCTCCCTAGCGCGCCCACCTCGCGGCGGCGCGCCCCTTCCTCAGGGGAGCGGTGGCGATGCAGAACGGCTCGATGCCGATAGCCACGGGCTGCAGTCCCAGTTGCGAGGGGCAGCGCGAGGGGGGGGGGAGCGGCTCGGGGGAGGAGGAGGAGGAGGAGGAGGAGGAGGAGGAGGAGGAGGAGGAGGAGGAGGAGGAGGAGGAGGAGGAGGGGTGAGGAGGAGGAGGAGGAGGAGGAGGAGGAGGAGGAGGAGGTTGGCATCGAGCCGCAACCGGCGATGCGTCGCCGACAGGTTGGCGGTGGGCCCCCCCGATCGCCCCAGTTCTGCGAGCCTGCCAGCTCCTGGGCGAGGTGGGCCCTCCTGCCCCACATCGGCGAGGATTGGTCGAATTGGGGGTCGACCTATCCCCCTCTGACCCCATCCCCCAGGGTTCCATCATGGTCTATCCTCAGGGCATGGTCTATTCTTACCCTCTGAATGCCCATCTGACCCCATCCCAGGGGTTCCATCATGGTCGATCTATCCCCCTCTGACCCCATCCCCCCTGGCGTTGCCTCCTGGGCTTCGGACCACGACTCGACTCCACGGCGGCCGTTCGGGGCGATCCAGAACGCCCTATCTCGGCGATGAGTGGTCGATTGGGGGTCGACCTATCCCCCTCTGACCCCATCTCGGAAGCTGGGCGAGGGCTGCTAAAACCGTGGCTGCTAAAACGGCCCTCCCGGAAGGAAAAAACAACTTCCCGGAATTAGGCGCGGCACGGGAAACAGTCAACGGGCTTCTTCCCGGAAGGACGAAGACAACTTCCCGGAGGTCGATTTTAGCAGCCACGGATTTAGCAGCCCTTGCCCGGCTCCCGACCATCCCCCCTGGCGTTGCCTCCTGGGCTTCAGACCATGACTCGACTCCACGGCGGCCGTCCGGGGCGATCCAGGACGCCCTCGGCGCCGCCCCATTTGGCAGTGGAGCGCGCCGATGTCTTCCATGGAAGCGGGACCCGTCGCCAACTCATGCGCCTTAACCCATGTCTGCGTTGCCTCGATTCTCTCGTTCTCCTCATCTCTTGCTCCTCCCCCTCCGTTCCCCCTCGTCATCCTCCTCCATATACCTGCTCCTCCTCCTCCTGCTCACCCGCCACATCTCCCTCCACCAATGTGCGCAGGTCCCCTTTTTGCAATTTACCCGTGGCAGCACGGGGTCCTCTGGGAGGTTTAAATCCGGCTATGACGCCCGTCGGACGACATGTGAAAAAAACAGCGCAATGGGAAGGGATGAAATGCCAGATATGACGCGAGCATACAAAGCTTATCTCCCTCCCCCTCCTCCTTCACTCCTCGCTCCCTGGGCGGCGACCTGCGAAGCAAGTCAACGAAGGGCTCGGCCTCCAGCGAGCGCGACACCCCGGGCATCCTGTGGCACGAAGGGCGGTCCCCCTCCTTGTCGTTCTCTTCCTCCTACGTAATCGCGTTCCTCCTCCAGATGCTCCTTCCCCCGCCTCCTCAACCTCCTCCTCCTCCTCCTCCTTCTCCTCGTCGCCGTGGTCGTCGTCGTCGTCGTCATTATACTGATCGTCATTCTGGTCATGGCCGTGATAATGATCATACGTTTCATCACAATCACCGTCAGCAGCAACATTACCAGCATCATCACCAGCAACAGCAGCATCATCATCAGCACCATCATCAGCCTCAGCATCCTCATCATCCACATCATCATCAACATCGTCAACCTCAACACCGTAATCAGCAACATCATCAACACCATCATCATCATCATCATCATCATCATCATCACACACATCATTATGAGCACCAGCTCCGTCAACAACAGAAACCTGAACAACATGAATCATCGCCATCAACAACTCCACCACAGCCGTCATCATCATCATCAACATCATCATCTCAAGCATCACCATCATAACCTCCATCGCCATCAGACACATGAATATCACCATTATCACCATCATCATCATCATCATTATCATCATCATCAACGCCATCATCATCACAATCATCAACCTCATCATCGCCACCGTCATCAGCATTACCACCGCTACCACCTCCACCACTATCATCATCACCAGCAGCATCACCATCATCGCAATCATGGGCATCACAATCAGCATCGATTTGAACGTCATTACCAGCATCATCATCACCATCACCACCACCATCATGATCATCACCGGCACCAACAGCAGCCTCAACAAAGTCATCATCAACACCATAATCACCACCATAATCGTGATCATCACAAATACAACCATCACCGTCACCATCACCATCACCATCATCAACATCACCATCCTAACCAACATTATCATCATCACCATCATCAACATCACCAGCATTACCTACACCGTCACCATCACCATCGCCGTCACCATCACCATCATCATCATCATCACCATCACACGCATCATCAACATCATCAATCCCATCATCCTCATCATAATCAGCATCGCCATCAACATCACCACCGTCACGCTCATTATTACCACTACCACCACCATCATCATCATCAGCATCACCATCATCACGTCTAGCATCATTATCATCATCAACCACATCACCATCATTACTAGCATCATCATCAGCATCATCATCATCATTACCAACACCATCACAATCACCATCGCCATCAACATCTCCACTGTCACCATCATCAACATCATCATCACCATCATCATCATCAACATCACCACCATCACAATCACCATCGCCATCACCATCACCAACACCGTCACAATCACCATCACCATCACCATTACCATCATCATCATCATCAGCATCATCATCATCATCATCATCAGCATCATCATCATGGCGCTGCGCTCCACCCCGCGAGCGAGGCGGCGGCGGCGCGCGTTTTGCTGGCCGACGGGACCGCGGTGTCGACGGCGCGCTGGCTCGGCAAGCCGCTGCAGCTCGGGCGCGCCACCCTCGCTGCGCGGACCCCGCTGCGGCGGAGCCCACCTGCTGCGGGCGCGGCTGCGGATGCGGCTGCGGGCGACTGGGGGTCGCGCGCTGCTGTGGTGGCAGTCCCGACTGCAAGCGCTGGCCCTGCGGCGCCCACGGCACGGCGATCGCAGAGGCGGGCGCAACCTGCGCGGACCGCTCGAGCGGCACGACCTCCCATGGTGGGCCCTCAGCCGCGGCGCCGAGCGGCGGCAGCGGCCCCTCTGCTCACGACAGCGACCTTGGGGCGCCGCTCCCCCCGACGTGGAACCAACCCAACGCAAGGGGACGGGGCTCGGAAACGCGGCGCTGCAGGCCAGGAAGCTGCCGCGCGGCGCGGCCGCGCGCGAACCGAATCGAGCGCGGACCGCCGCGGCGCTCGCCGCCCAGTTCTCGGCGGAGTTCTCAGCGGCGCTGGCCTGGGCCTTGAGAGGCCCCGGCACGCCGCAGTGGGCCCGTTGTCCTCTGGTCGTCGGAGATGCAGCGGCGGATGCTTGCCATCGGCCCTGCTGGCCTCAGACAGGGTCGGTAGCGGGTAAACGCCCGTCTGGCTGGAGGCCTCGAGTGACCCCAACGCCAGTGCGCAGGAATTTGGCACGGCGTGTATGAACCCCGCTCCCAGACCCGTAGGCCAGCACAGGATCATCATCATCAGCATCATCATCGCCATGATCATCATCACCATCATCATCATCATCATCATCATCAGCAGCAGCAGCAGCATCATCATCATCATCATCATCATCATGGACGTCATCATTATCAGCATCGCCATCATCATGATCACCATCAGCGTCAACAGCATCATCATCATCCGCATACTCCTCATCAGTGTCATCATCATCACCGTCAACATCATAATCATCATAATCATCATAATCATCAGCGACAGCATCATCATCGTCGTCATCACAATCATCACCACAACCATCATAAGCAGAGAATCAGCGTCGTCAATGTCATTGCCATCATCACCATTATAATCACCAGAATCATAATCGTTGGAGTCAGCCTCAGCGCCATCAGCATCAGCATCAGCATCAGCATCGTCGTCGTAATCATCAGCAGCATACGTTTCTTCATCTTTGCTACTGTAGCCAGCATCATCATCATCATCGCCACCACCATAGCCATCACCATCATCACCATCATCTCCACCCTCTATCAACATTACCATCATCATCGGCAGGTCACCAGCAGCAAAAACAACAGCAGCAGCATTGCCATCGCCATCATCAGTATCAGCATCGTCATTATCATTAGCAACAACATCACCAACGGCAGCGTTAACAACACCAACAACATCAAAATCAACATCACCAACATCAACATGATCATCATCAATAATATCCGCCGGCCCCCTTGCGGAGCCATCAAGCTGCGAGGCTTAGGCTTGCTGCCCCCTCCTCCAGTTGCGGGTTCCAGTTCCCGTTGTGATAATTTCACTCTCTGCGTCTTACTGTCAGTTGTTGCAACCCCTGCGAGGGGGGGAGGGGGAGCCCCAAACCACCCGGTTACCACGCCCGGATCGCGTTCTCTGAATTAATGGGGGGGGCGTGGGACGCGTACAAACACTTGAGATTCGCGCGCCCGAGGCAATACCCCCTCGCAGATTACGCAATCGTCGCGTCCTCGAGGCCATAAGCCGTTTGAATTATACAATTCTTGCGTCCCCGAGGCAACACACCCTGCACATTATTTGATACTCACTTCCCCAAGGCAACAAACACTGGTCAATTACGCAAGATTCGCGTCCCCGAGGCCATAAACCCTGGAAAGTGCACAAGATTCGCATTGCCGAGGCGAAAGAGTGCTCCAAGGCGCCAGAAGATGGTTCCCAGTCGCCCAGGGAGGCCACAAAAGCGCTCCAAGAAGCCTCCCAAGAGAGCCCCAAGAGGCCAAAATAGTTGATTTCACGAAGGTGTGTTGAAGGATGTTGGCCTTCTCGCATTTTCGGCTTTCCGACGCCCAAGAAGCCCAAGACGCCTCCAAGACGGCCCCGAGACGGCCCCAAAGGGCTCCAAGCTGGCCCAAGAAGCGCTCAAGCCGGCCCAAGAGGGCCCCAAGACGGCCCCAAGAGGGGCCCAAGCAGGGGACTACGAACCGAACATTCTATATGTGTGCCGCGAGATGCCCCCAGAAAGCCCCGAGAGGCCGCCAAGAGGCCGCGAAGAAAACGCAAGAGGCGGCTAAAACGTGCCCAAGAGGCCTCCGAGGGGCCCAGAAGATACCCCACGAGGCCCCAAGAGGCCTCCAAGAGGCGCCCAAACCGCCTCCAAGAGGCCCCCGAGAGGCTCCCCACGACACCCCAATACATAGTAAAGAGGCCTCAGACCCACAACCCAGGCACGGTGGCGGGATGGGTCGAAGGCCGCTAGGATAACGCCAACGTCTCAACATGTGCTGATGTTCTCAACTTGTGCTGGTCCAAGGCAGCACGGAGACGCAACGACGAGCCTCTGACATATCCAATTCTGATAGAGAGGGGGGCGGGCGGCAGGGGCCGAAGCTTTTACGGATTATGTGAGTGCGTGTAAATATTGTTATTGGTACTCGTCATAACGTTCTTGACAGTATGGGTCGTCATACTCCCCGTCTAGTATCATTCGTTTTGTTGCTGTAATGCATATGATTCGCACACTATAGCATAATCACCGCAGTATCATCAGCATCATCATCAGCATCATCATCACACTCATCCTCATCATAATCACAATCGACGTCGCCATCACCATCACCATCATCGTCATCATCATCTAGAACATCAGCATCATCATCATCAGCATCATCATCATCATCAGCAGCAGCAGCGCATCATCATCATCATCATCATCATCATCAGCAGCATCATCATCAGCATCATCAGTATCGACAGCATCATTATCAGCAACATCAACATCACCCTCTTTCTCATCCTCATGCTCCTCCTCCTCCTCCTCATCATCATGACTATCATCCTCATCACCATTAGCACACTCGCTGCCACAACCCGTCCTAGCACAATGACCGTCATCGTAACCATCGCCATCATAATTACAATGAAAAACTCATCCACCATCACTGTCACCGTCATAAATATAGTTGGTACCATCCAAATCATGGTCATAGTCATCGTTATGTCTCGCCTTCTCAGAAGCCTCGGGGCCCTCCTCAGAAGCCCCCCGGCTTCCAAAGAAGCACCCAGCCTTCTTCGAAGACCACCCCCCGCGCGCGCCGCCAAGATGTGAGTTGTCCCATGCGCGGCCCCAGAAGCTTCGACCAGAGTTCCGAGGCGGATCTGGCCGTGGCGACGAGGGGGGGTGTCCACGGGCCCCCAAAGGCCCCCAAACCTAGGCCCTCGAAGCTCCGTCCCAAGACCCAAGACATCCGACGACGTGACGTTTCCAGGGCGCGGCCCGAAGAGAGTCCCGAACCCTCCCCCCCCGGGGGAGTGCTCTTCGCCCCCGATCCGCTCCTGCTGGCCCCGGGGGCCGAGGGCCAGCCCCGCGCAGGGGCCGAGATGGAGTACGGAACGCCGGGATTGAGAACTGCATTTGGACGCCCGAGATGGGTACGGAAAACATGGGCACAGTGCCCAACGACAAGTGCTGTCCCAAACCAAAACCAACAGCGGCCGCTGCTGGGCAGGCGGCCTTCTGTCTCGAATGGACACAGGCCGCGGCGGCGTGGACAGCGAATCCTGTTCAAAATGAACAGGAACTGCTGTTGGGCATTGTACCCATTCTTTCCTCGGGGATGGACAGACCCCCCTTTAGTACAACGTGGTTTAGTGAAAACGACCTGAGTCCCAAACATGGCGGGCGAGAAGCCTGGAACATAACGGCCGCGGCGCCCTTTCGAGAACCGAAAACGGACAATTCACTAATCGACGTGTCACTGTTGGGGGTTCTGTCCAGCCCCAACGTACCCATTTCGGGCGTCCAAAGCGAAGGTCGGAGACCAGGGCTCCCCTCAGCCGGCTGTCGGGCCACGGCTCTGGCCTCGGGCGGCTGCTGGGGACGACTACAGCCAGCACCTCCAGGGTGCCCTCGGCAAGGCGCAGCGGTTTTTTTTCAACATCAACAAGGACTCACACCAGCAGGACTGGAACTGTAGTGACTTAAATCGTGATTTAAATCCGCCTCAAATGGTGAGGTCTTGAATACTCTCGGACTCCACCCTCGAATCCCCTGCAGGAGCAATCGGGGGTCTGGGTCCGTCTCTCCGGCCCGCTCATCCGCCCGGCGCGGCGGCGCGAGGGCGCGAGAGGGGGCGGTCTGTCTTCTGGAAGTCGGCCAGCGACTTCGTCAGGGAGGCATCCTGGCCCCCAGCGCGCCCAGGGCTGTCCCAAGCGGCGCTGCTCCTGCCTGCCCGCCCCGATTCCTCCTCGTCGCCCAGAGCCTGCAGGGTGGGGATGCATCGCCCGTAAGCACCGTCTGGATCATCGACCTTCGGGGGCCTCGGCAGGAGTTGGACGTGGGTATATATATATATATATATATATATTTTGTGTTTGTGTGTGTGTTTCTGGTTGCGCCCCCAGGGCCCAAATGCAGTCGGGCCGCTGCAAGAAGGAACGCTAGAGAAGGAACGACGCCCCTTGCATGCCCCCCAAACCGCCTTCGTCCACGAGGATGGCTGGAGGAACCGCCGTGGAAGGACCTAAGGAACATCGAGCCCTTCCGAATCCAAGCTGTTCCTTATTTCAGCGCCTCGAACGCATATGCAAATCCACCTCCTGTGGAGGTACCCGGATGTCGATCCACCGAGCGGTTGTGATGGGTAGATCCCCGCCGCAAAACGCCCGGCCCAGCGCGCACTGAAATCGGGCGGCGGGCCCAGATATCCTCACTGCCGACACAGTGAGTAGCGGTAGAACTCCCCGTTGCCTTGTCTGGCATCGCCGTTTAATGATGCCATTCGCGGGAACATCGTGGCGGAAGGGCAGAAAGGTGAAGCAACAACAAGTAGCGATAATTCCTCGTCGCCTTGTCCGACATCGCCTTGCCTATTTCCATTCGTTCTCATTCCCTCATGTTTCCTCCCCTGCTTACTCTTCCCGCGACAGCATCCGTCTTCGCTGCGCTGGGCGGCAAGGACCGCTCGAGGGACCTCGCGGAGAGTGGCCTCGAGCAGGTCGGTCGGCGCTCCTCCTCCTCCTCACTTATTCTCGCCCTCCCCTGCTAACTCTTCCCCCTCCTCCTCTGCTCCGTCTGCGGAGGCTCCTGCTTGGAGGGCTCACCAGGGGCCCCGCGACAATCTCACAGGGCTTCTTGGGGCCTTCGGCCGGCCTCCTGGGCGCCTGCTGGGGGCCTCTGGGGGCTTCCTCGGGCCACCTTGCGTTCAACTGCGGTCTCCCTGGGCGACCGGGTCACGATTTGGAATGCTTCGGGGGCGTCTTGGGGCCGTCTTGGGCTCTCTTCAGGCCATCTTGGAGCCCTGCTGGGCGTGTTGGGAGTCTCTTGGACTGCCTGGAAGCCCTTTCTGATAGCTTTGGCGTGATGTGTGTTGCCTCTTGGGCGGTCTCGGACGCCTGGAAGACGAAAGATCAGAGTATTCCCAAAATCATGCAAACACGATCGGAAATGTTTGTTGCTCTACATGTCGAAAGCGGTGTTCTTTGAGTCAACTTCGGGCGTCTGGTGGGTGTTTGGAACCTCTTGGGGCTCTCGGGGGGCCGTTCAACCGACCTCCTGACCGATTTGAGCCTGCTCCCTGGGCCCAACAGGGGCTTCCAGGAGCTCCGAAAAGCTCGGGGGACCTGCAGGGGCGTCTAGGGGTTGCCAAGGACCAGGGATCCCGGGAGTCCAGATTAGGCGGGATCGCAGGGCCCCATATTGTGGAACATATGGAGAAAATACTATACATGTATACACGTAGATATGATGTATGTATGTATGCATGCATGCACACATATATATATATATATATATATGAACACACACATCTATAGATATATGTGTGTTGTTATGTATATGGGTGGATGGATCGGCAGATGTGGGTCGGTCGGTAGGTAGGTCGGTAGGTATAGAGGCTGGTCGGTCGGTAGGTAGGTATGTATGCATACGTGTATGTATGTACGTACGTACGTATGTATGCATGTCTGCATGCATCTAAGTGTGTATGCATGTGTGTATGCATGCATGGATACACGCATACATGTTTGTGGGATTGCAGGTGTGTGTATGTATGTATATATGTATGTATGTACGTACGTACGTACGTACGTATGTACGTACGTATGTATGTATGCATGTATGCATGTATGTATGTATGTATGTATGTATGTATGTATGTATGTATGTATGTAGTTATGTATGTATGTATGTATGCATGTATATATGTATATATGTATGTATGTATGCACGCATGCATGTATGTATGTATGTAGGTATGTATGTATGTGTGTATGGTTGTATGTATGTATGTATGTGTGTATGTATGCATGTATGCATGTATGTATGTATGCATGTATGTATGTATGTATGTATGTGTGTAGGTATACATGCATACATGCATGTATACATGTATGTATGTATGTATGTATGTATGTGTGTATGTATCCATGTATGTGTGTATGTATGTATGTATGCATGCATGTCTGTAGTATGCGTGTAAGTAGGTCTACGTGGTTGTCTCTATGTGTGTATGCATGCATGCATGCATGCATGCATGCATGTATGCATATGTGTGTCTGGGTGTGTGTGTGTCTGTCTGTCGGTCAATGTGTCTGTGTGGCTGTATGTCTGTATGAATAGATGTATGCATATGCATGTGTGTACGTGTGTGTGGATGTTTCTAGTAATATATGTGTTGCTATCTATGTGGAGCGATCTGCGTGGTGCAATCTGTGTGGCGCAATGTGATGCAATATGCGTGGCAGTGTGTAGTGTGCAATGTTGGTCTGTGCGCTTCTACGATGTACCATACATGTTGTGCAAGCTGTACGGTGCAACCAATGTAGCGGTATATCTGTGATACAAGCTCTGAATAGCTCTCTGTGGTGCTAGCTAAGTGGAGCAATATCTGAGGTGGGTGCTATCTATGTATGGAACCCTACGTCGTGCAATGTATATGGTGACGTCTAAGACGTGCAATCCTGGTTGGATATTATATGTAATACAAGCTATGTTGCTAAATCCATGTGGCTCCATCTGTGTGGTTCAACCTATGTTGCGCAACCTATGTTGCGCAATGCATATGACGCAATCCATGCTGTGACACATATGGTGTACAACCTATGTTGGGCAATAGATGGTGGGCAACCTATGTGGTGAAGCACACGTTGCGCAATATAGGATGTGGAAACTACGGTGTGCAATCGATGTAATGCAGTATCTGACCTGCAACCTATGCGGTGTAATCTATGTTGCGCAGTCGTGCAGCAAACAATGCAGGGGTGACGAGGCGTCGACTGCGGCAACATAGCCGCCAAACCGCCACACCAACAGACGACGGGCGGCGACGAGGCGGCGACAGGGTGGCGACCGCGGCAACATAGCCGCCAGACCGGCACACCAGCCCAGTCCCCTAGAACACAAAAGCTAGACCCCCCAAGAGCAAGCACCGTTTGGGGAATATCCCGCCAGCCCTCTGGGCTGAGTGATCGAACGGAATTCCTTGCCACATCCCCTCCTTCCCCTGCTCGGGGGAGGGGTTGACCACTATTCCTTATTAACCGGCAGCCAGCCAGGAACGAGGATACCATGCGGGCACCCACCCATCATCCCTGTCAAAAAACGTTGTAAAACGCACTCTGCCTCCACGTGTGGAGCATGCGCAGCCAACCCGATGCGGCCTCCCCAACCACTCCTGTCAACAAAACAATACAAAGTACACTGTGGGGCAAAGTCTTGAGTCATGTTCGTGAGGCCCGCGAGCACATTGTATTGTTTTTGACTGGAGCGGCGTTGGTGTCAGCATACTGCCTTTTGTGCGCAGGGCTACCAGCCCTACAAAAACAATACAAAATAGACCTCGCGGCTAAATCTGGTTCGTGCGCGGCCACCCCGCGATATCTGTCAAGTGGTTTTTGACAGGGAAGGCGGGGGTGGTAGCGTATGGCCTGCTGTGCGCAGGCCAACCAGACACAAAGATGGGTATGCTTCTCGGCATGGATGGTGGGGGGACGACATGTCTCCCGATGTGATCTGTCACGTGCGCAGGCGCACCTGAAACACTCTGCACGTGCCCTAATTGTTCGCACCTGGCGCGGCTGGAGTGTGCGGAACACCTGGCGCACTCAGAGCACGTGGCGATCAGGCGCACCAAGCGTGCCTGACACGCTCGGGCCCCAAGGGTGCCTGGCGCGCGTGGCGCGCCTGGCACGCGTGGCGCACCTCGCCCCAGCGTCGCGCACATGGGGCCGGTCTTGCTTCTCAGTAGCTGCCCATCCAAAAACGGCCGCTCAACATGCTGAGGCTCGGGCGTTACTTGTCTTTGGAGGGCGGGTGGGAGTTAGCTGGACGGCTTGCGGCCGGGTGGTTAGCTTGACCCGTCCCACTGCCCCTCCCCTGGGCCTGGACGGGGGATGGCCCGAGCCGTCAGAGCGCGCAAGATGACTCCAAGAGGACCCTCGGCAGCCCAAGACAGCCTCCAAGATGACACAAGATACTTCACAATCGCTCAAGATAGCCTGCGACCTGCCTCCAAGACGGCCCAGGACAGCCCCGAGACGGTTCCCCGTGCCACTCCAGCCTACCAAAGGTCCCGAGAGGCTAAAATCCTGCAAAATCCTCGGGGAAATCAATCATGTGTGGCTTTTTGCTGTTTCGCTTCCGATGATGTGCCTTTTGGGCCTCAAGATGCCCCGAAGACGGCCCAAGACAACTCCAAAATGGGCTAAAGACGGCCCCAAAGGCGGCCCCAAGAGCGACCAAGAGGCGCCCAAGAGCGGCCCAAGAGGCCCCCAGGAGGCCATCTTGGGGCCTCCGAAGGGGGGGACCTTCAGTGAATCTCCCCCTTCATTGATCGATCTTCTCCATGATGGCCCCAGAAGATCCCAAAAGGGCGCCCAGCATCACCAGGGAGGCGCCCGGCATCACCACAGAAGCCCTGAAGATGCGACCAAGAGGCCCCCACAAGAGACCAAAGAGGCTCCAAGAGGCCCCTCAGAGGCATCAAAGACGCACCAAGATGCCCCAAGGACCACCAAGGCCTCTTCTCCCCATCATCCTTCTCCTGCGCCTCCTCCTCCTCTTCCTCCTCCTCCTCATTTACCCATTCGGGGCTTTATAAAGATTACGAACTAGACCGTTCGGACCATTAGTGGCAACTGGTGACACAAGCAGGGCCGCATGCAACCTCCTCCTCCCACTCCTGCCCCTCCACCTCCCTCTCCCCCTCCTCCTCCTCTTCCTCCTCCTCTCCTCCTCCTCCTCCTCCTCCTCCTCCTCCTCTCCTCCTCCTCCTCCTCCTCCCCCTCCCCTCCTCCTCCTCCCTCCTCCTCCTCCTCCTCCTCCTCCTCCTCCTCCTCCTCCTCCTCCTCCTCCTCCTCCTCCGCCTCCGCCCCGCCTCCTCCTCCTCCTCCTCCTCCTCCTCCTCCTCCTCCTCCTCCTCCTCCTCCTCCTCCTCGCCCTCCCTCCTCCTCCTCCTCCTCCTCCTCCTCCGCTCCCCCTCTCCTCCTCTCCTCCCCCTCCTCCTCCTCCTCCTCCTCCTCCTCCCCCTCCTCCTCCTGCTCCTCCTCCTCCTCCTCCTCCTCCTCCTCCTCCTCCTCCTCCTCCCTCCTCCCTCCCCCCTCCCCCCTCCCTCCCCCCTCCCCCCTCCCCCCTCCTCCCTCCTCCTCCTCCCTCCTCCCTCCTCCCTCTCCTCCTCCTCCTCCTCCCTCCTCCTCCTCCTCCTCCTCCTCCTCCTCCTCCTCCTCCTCCTCCTCCTCTCCTCCTCCTCCTCCGTCCTCCCTCCTCCTCCTCCTCGTCCTCCTCCTCCTCCTCCTCCGTCCTCCCTCCTCCCTCCTCCTCCTCGTCCTCCTCTTCCTCCTCTTCTCCTCCCCTCCTCCTTCTCCCGTCCTCCTTTTCCTCCTCATCCTCCTCCTCCCTCCTCCTCCTCCCCCTCCCTCCTCCTCCTCTCCTCCTCCTCCTCCTCCTCCTCCTCCTCCTCCTTTTCCCTCCTCCTCCTCCTCCCTCCTCCTCCTCCCTCCTCCTCCTCCTCCTCCTCCTCCTCCTCCTCCTCTCCTCCTCCTCTCCTCCTCCTCCTCCTCCTCCTCCTCCCCCTCCTCCTCCTGCTCCTCCTCCTCCTCCTCCTCCACTCCCCTCCTCCTCCTCCTCCTCCTCCTCCTCCTCCTCCTCCTCCTCCTCCTCCTCCTCCTCCTCCTCCTCTGGGCCCCGTACCCATACCGGGCATTCGAATATTTCAAGCTCTCGATGCGCGTTCCTCGACGTTCCGACCACGGCTTTCGTCCCGAGCAGCTGCTCGCCGCTCCCTGGGGCACGAAGGCGGCCCCGGAGGGTGGAACACGGCAAAGCCACGCGGTCTTCTCAGACGTGGCATGTCTGGGAGTGGGCCCGCACCAAAGGTCACTCCAGCAAGGGGGCGCTATTACGTCTGGCTCGTTCCCCCAGACATCCAACTTTTCAATGCGCGAGCCAAGGGGGTAGAGTCTCCTCCCCGACCCATGTTTGGGGTTCAAGGGCCCGAGAATGAGCCGAACTAAAAGAAAAACACATCGTCGGAGAGTCGGAGATCAGGATTCCTGAACTGGCTCTTGAACATAACTCAGGCCTCCAGCGGCCAGTCGGGACGATTCCGGCATCCCCAGATTCACTCCCCGAAACCTCCGCCAAACTTCGAAACCATTTGGCGGCGAGCGAGGGGAATTAGAAGGTCAAGGCGTTCTCAGAAGGCGGCGGGGCTTCTCAGAAGGCATCCAGCCTTCTGAGAAAGTATTTGTTTTCGGTGGGACACTTCTCAGAAGGCTGGGGGACTTCCGAGCCTTCTGAGAAGGCCGCTCATTCTCACATCCCCCCCTCGCTCGCTGCCGAACCATAAAACAACAGTTTCAATCTCGGAGATCTGGGATCCTCGATCGTCTCCTAGAGCAAGAAAAAAACCGTATAAACATAAACTTTTGGCGCCCCGCGCGGATTTTTCGGATCTCCGCTGGACTCCCCTCCCTGGCGCGTGGAGCGTACCAGGGGCGGTGCTGGAGGCGCCGCCAGAGGAGCTCAGCGCAGGTGGTGGGGGCCCAGCGCGGAGCGCCAAACGTTCATGCTCATAGCGTTTTTTCTCTCGTATTCGATCTCCGCTTCCCCCCGGGGCTCCGCGGAGATCTTCGCAAGAGGCTTGGCGCCCCCGGGCAGCGTGGCCTGGCGCCTGCCGGGCGCTGCGACGCGCAGTGGGGGGGGGAAGAGGGGCACTGCGGGAAAGAGAGATACGAAATGGCGCCAAACCTTGGATGCGCACTCTGGGGACCTCCCCGGAGACACTTGCTCCACTCGTGCGTAGAGGCTGCGTCGAACGTCCGTCGAGTTGAGCCAACCTTGAGTCGAACCTGGGTGGAACCTGAGTCGAACTTGAGTCGAACTTGAACCGAACTGGGGTCGAACCAGAGTCGAACAGATCCGTTAGATGGGCCCCAGGATGGTCCCCCAAACGAGCATCTACCAAGCCCATCGGGAGTCCAAAATCGGTGCATCCGCCGGCCTGGCTTGGTGACGGCCTCCAGTGGCCCGAAGGACGGCCCGAATCGGCCGAGAAAAGCCGGTGAAAGTCCCCCCAAAACTGGCCCAGAAGGCTCCTGGAGAGATCTCTGAAAGGAGGCGGCAGGGCCTTCGAGCAGGCGGAATGAGCGGATTCTGGGGAGAACCCTAGGAGGGGTAGTGAGTGCTCAGAGGCAGGGGCAGATGTAAAACTCGCGCTGGTGAGAGGACTTTCAGAAAACATACCTCGAACACCATGCTGTGGATCTCACACGCCGTACCAGGTGTGGCCGCGGATCGCTTCGTTCATTCCGCCGGCCCACATCTAACAGCCTTCGGCCCATCCCGCCACCGTGGCCTGTCGGGGGGTCCTGTAGGCAGTTCTGAAGCCTTTGGGGAGCTGTGTTGGATCCACTTTTGGGCCTCTTGGGGCCTTGTCGGGGCCCCTTGGAGGCCCCTTGGGGCCGCTTGGGCGCCTCTTGGCGGAGGTCCGTGTTTCCCCTCGTGGGCACCCCTTGGCCGTCGTGGGGCCCTTTTGGGCCTGGCCACCGAGTGGCCACGCGTCGCGAAACTCTGCAAATGCAAAAGAATCACAACCCCGAACTCCCAAACATGCGATGTGTAGATTCATCCAACCTGGGTATCACAAAAAATCCAAACCCGTTACATCAGTCCTGTGATTCATACTGAGCCGATTTTGCTGACGGCCCTGAAGCCCGATCATCATCTCAAACGCCGGGAGGCAGAACATGTACAGAAACATGTTTTACTAGACGCAAGTGTCTCCCTTTCAGGCCGTAACACGGATCTCCTGAGCCCCTTCTGTACGATTCGGGCACCCCCGAACGCTCCTGGCGAGGTTCAGCTGTTGGAAAGCACATTGAGGCCCGAACGCCTCCAAGCATTCCTGCGAGGACACCAAGAATTCTATGTCTAGCGGCCCTTCCCTACGGAGCCCGTGCGGAACAGCATTAGAGCCTGGATGTCATGAACCCCAGCTCTGGGCCCTGCCACCAGAGGAAACCCCCGAAACCCTCGGAGGCCCGCCTCAAAATCGCGCCTGGGACCCCCAGCGGCCCAAACGCGGCCACAAGCACCCCTCTCCTCCTCCTCCTCCTCCTCCTTCTCCTCCTCCCCCTCCTCCTTCTCATCCTCCTTCTCTCTTCCTCCTCCTCCTCCTCCTCCTGCTCCTCCTCCTCCTCTCCTCCTTCTCCTCCTCCCCGATCCCTACTCCTCCTCCTCCTCCTCCTCCTCATCCTCCGACTCCCCCTCCTCCACCTCCACCTGCACCTCCTCTTCCTCCTCCTCCTCCTCCTCCTCCTCCTCCTCTTCCTCCTCCTCCTCCTCCTCCCCTTCTCCTGCGTCACCCACCCCTCCTCCTCCTCCTCCTCCTCCTTCTCCTCCTTCTCTCTCCTCCTCCTCCTCCTCCTCCTGCTTCTCCTCCTCCTCTTCCACCTCCTCCTGCTGATCCTCTGCCTCCTCCTTTTTTGTAGTATCATTATGATTAGCATTATTATTATGATTAGTTTGATTATCACTATTATTAGTGTTAGAATTGCCATTACTACTATTATGAATGTTATGCTTAGTATTATTATTCCTCCTCCTCGTCCTCCTCGTCCTCCTCGTCCTCCTCGTCCTCCTCCTCCTCCTCCTCCTCCTCCTCTCCTCCGCCTCCTCCCCCTTCTCCTTCTTCCCCTCCCATCATCCTCCTTCTCTCATCCTCCTCCCCTTCCTCCTCCTCCTCCTCCTCCTCCTCCTCCACCTCCTCCTCCACCTTCTCCTCGTCCTTCTCGTCTTCCTCGTCCTCCTTGTTCTCCTCCTCCTCCTCCTCCTCCTCCTCCTGCCCTCGGGCCCTGGGACGCCTGCGACTGCTGTGTGCGGGCCGCTGGCGCGCGCGCGCGCTCGGCCCGCGGGGGAGGCCGCCGCCCGCGCCTCAGGTGCGTCACGGGGGATGCGTACCTGGGGGCCGGCGTGGCGAACGTTTTCTTATGCGGCATTTCGGCATTGGGCAGAAGGGGGGGAGGGGGGGTAGGGGGGGGGTCTGGCTTCGGACCTCTGCTGAGTGCGGCTGTTTGCAGCAGTGCGTCATGTGGGGCAGTCGGGCCGGGCGAACGGGGGGGATAGCACAGGGGGGTTTGAGAATCAGCTCACGTAACTGATTTTCCCGACGCCTCCTGGTGCCGGAGGCGGCTATGTATCGAGGAATGGGCCCAGCGGCGGGGCCGAAACCAGCTGCATGCAGCAGATTTCGTAACCCCCCCTTTCGTCCGGCCCGAGGGAGACTCCAACCTGTTCGGGACAGGCGCCAGAAACAGCCAAGATCTACTCGATTAGGGGGGAGAGGGGGGGGGGCGAGGGCCCGCGCCGATTGGCAAAACAAAAAAGAAAGAGAGAGAGAGAGAGAGAGAGAAAACGATCACATGGAAGGCGAGAATGCCTGGCAGGGGATATGTCGACCCCTACTTCGTGGGGCTTTCGAATGGACCAAAAACTTGGGGCCCAACCCTGGGATATACGATGAGGGAGCGCCGGTTCCGGATAGGGTGCGCTCGGATAGCCCCCTTGGTGTGTATCCCAAGGTCTCCCCCTTGTTATGAGCGGCCAAATTTTTCGGGCAGAACTCTGGGATTGGGGGACAGACATCGCCTGCGAGTGCATGCTGCTGTTCAGCTGCTCGGGCTCCAAATCGCCTCCTCATCATCCGCCTCCTCCTCCTCCTCCTCCTCCTCCTCCTCCTCCTCCTCCTGCGGCACTGCGGGCATAGCGGTTTGTCCGCCGCAGCCAGCGCCGCGCCGCCGCGCGCGGCGCGACGCGCGACCTCCCTCCTCGGAGAACCTGGGGAGGGGGCCTCAAACGGCCTCTGGGTCCCAGGGCCACCCGCCACGAAGGAGAGATGCCCTCCTCCTCCTGATCCCTGATTCTCCATGGCCTCGGAAGTCTCCGACTGCCGCCTTTCCCAGATCCTCCTTCGATCCTTCACCGCCTTCGACCCTCGAGCTTCCCGATCCCAGGGTCCTCCTCTAAGACGATACCAGGACGAGAACAACATCGGCTGAGGACCGACCCGAAATCTCTGAGATACGGCGGCTCTGAAAAACGTATCGGGCGCCACGGCCGTCTCGGAGCGTTCCGGCACGCTCTGAAAGCGCCCCCGAACGCTCTGGAACGGATTCATCCTCGTCCTGGCCCCGCACGATCCTCCTCCTCCTTCTCCTTCCCCTCCTCCTCCTCCTCCTCCTCCTCCTCCTCCTCCCCTTCGTCCTTCTCCTCCTCCTCGGCCCTCGATCCCCGCGCCCCGAGCCCGGAACCTCGCACCTCTGGCGCCCGCGCCCGGGCCCGCGGCAGTAAGGGCGCCGAGCCGCGACGACGACCATGACGACGACGGCAGCAGGCGACGGCAAAGGCGGCGAAGATCACGACGAGGGCTACCGCCACGGAGACGGCGACGGCGGCGGCGGCGACGACGACTACGACGGCGACGCCAACGCCGAGGGCTGCTGCCACGGGGACGACGACGACGACGGCGGCGGCGGCGGCGACGACGACGACGCTGGCGACGAGGACGGCGGCGGCGGCGGCGACCTCTCCTGGGACGCGGTCTGGCCAGGATCTCCGGTGGACACGGGAGGGCGGCGAGCCCGGGGACTCCCGAAAAGGATAAAATCCTTCCCAAAACCACGACCCTCGACTGGGCGTTGAGTAATGGAGAGGCCAATCAACTGAGAGGAAGTGCACATCCCGTGCACATGCGGGGTCGGCACAGGTGGTCCCTTTAGGGCCCCTTTCCTGCCCCCCCCGACACGCCCCCCATTTTCGGCGGCGCGCAGCTGTGCTGCTGTGGCCGTAGGCTCTGACAGCCCATGGGCAAATACCTGTCTAGCGAATCTGTAACATGAGACCGTGACCCTCAGGGAAGCAATTCCGCCTTCCCCGGCAGCGCGCTGGGCCAGAACATTGATCAGCGCATCGAAACGTCATGTCGTGTGGCGCCACCCGGCGGAGAGAGCTTGGATGAGAGCGGGAGGGAGGACGGCGAAGGAGGGAGGGAGAGGGGAGGAGACGGCGGCGAGACGGACGACACATCACTCTGGAAAAACGGCGCGGCGCACGCTCAGGCGCCACGCGGTGCCCCCTGAGGGCCCAAGCAGAGGAGACCTCCGGCCAACGCCCGGAGCCCTTGGCTCTCGCGTATCCTGGAGGCCTCGACCCTCGAGCCGCCCCGAAGCAGCGACGGCGGCGACGCCGAAGGCGCGACAGCCCTGGGATGCGGCGTCTTGGCGCTCCTCCGCGCAGGGCGCTCTCGCCAGGCCTTCGGCCGCGGGGCCCCCGGGGAGCGACCATGGGCCGAGAGGTGCCGCAGGAAACAGCGTCGACGGCCGGAGGAGGAGGAGGAGGAGGAGGAGGAGGAGGAGGAGGAGGAGGAGGAGGAGGAGGAGGAGAGAGGAGGAGGAGGGGGAGGAGGAGGAGAGGAGGAGGAGGGAGGAGGAGAGGGGGAGGATGAGGGGGAGACGGATTCGCGTCGTGACGTCGGATCTCTGGCGACGGCGCCGGCGTCGCACCGGGAGGCGCGTCCTCGTCCAGGGTCCAGGATGTTTTCTGCTGGCCCTGAGCCCCCGAGCGGCGGGCCCCAGAGGCCGCCCTCGAGGGAGCGCGCCGGGGCGCAGCGAGAGTCAAGAGGAGGGACGTTCGTGGGGGACTGGCTCAGGAGTGGCAGCGGCGCAGAGGGAGAGTCATGAGGGGACGTTCGCGAGGGACTGGTTCACGGGGGTAACTTACCCCAGAGCTCGGGGATGGGGGAAACATCGAGCTGAAATCGGCGATGCATCGCCATGCAGTGGCCGAGGGGCCCCCGATAATGAATACGCGCGCTCCCCGGACGGAGTGGGCTATCGAGCCCCTGTCGACGAGCAACTGGGGGTTGGTGCAGCTCGCTGGGGCCTATCCCCGCCTCGCACTGCTCCCCGCTTTCGGATCAAGAAACCGCCCACGAGAAACCCAACCCTGAGACCCCAGGGAGTCCGTTGACTTTTTGGTGTGGGAGCGTCACGCTTTCCACAGCAAGACCATCGAGACCCAAGAAGCCCAAGGCACCCTGGAGGCAAAGCAGGGTGTCTCCAGGCATGGGCTTCCACTGCAACGCCGTCCCTGGCACTGCCTCGTCGGAGACCTGGCAGGGCGGCGGCAGCGGCGGTCGCCGACGAGCGGCGGCGGGCGCCACCAGGGGCGGGGGCGGGGGCACTTCCCCGACACCCCGGGGGAGCCTGCGCGCGGGGGCGGGAGCCCGACCGAGCACACGGTTCGCGCGCCGTCCTCGCGCCCACCTCCTTGACGGCGCGCAGAGGGGGTAAGGCTTCGCAGATAGGGAACATAATGCCCAACCTCATAAGAATCACCCCGACACGCGAGGCCGCATCGTAAACGCCAAAGGGCAGGGCTGTTTGGCAAACGCCCGGGGCCGTTTAGTAAACGGCCGTTATCGGGTCTGGGTGGTTGTTCCTCCCTTGACTAGAAAGAGGTGCTTCTAAGAAGCATGCCCCCCTCCCCCGACTCCCCTCTGCGCGCGGCTGGACCTCCTCCTCCGCATCAAGCCTTGGCGCGCCCTTCGTCTCACCATCCTCTCCTCTGTCAGCGCGAGATCTTGATGGGGCGGGGGGCAGGGATGGACAAAGTGGCCCAGGGACACAATAATAAATAAGCACAAATCCAAGAGTACCGATATTTTCCAACTTTCTGGGTTTTCGTCTTCCCCCCCCACACCCCACAGTTTCCCAGATTTGCCGGGGAGGCGAAGCTGAATTGTGCCTGTGTCTTGTTGCTCCCTCCTGGGTGGAGCCCTGGCCAAAAAAAGCGGGGGCTCCCCCGCGGACGAGGCGGACCGACCGAGGGGCGACACGAGGAGGAGCAACATGAGGACGAGAGAGAGAGAGAGGGAAGACGAGCAAAAGGGAGCGGCACGCCCGACGGAGACACATCGCCGGTGGATCGGCGATGGACCCCAAGTGCGGAAAGCGCACGTCCATTGGGCGGGGTGGGCTATCCAGAAGAGGAAAAACGGCATAACCATAGACTTTCGACGGTCCGCGCTGATTTCTTGGATCTGCGCTGGACCCCACTCTCTGGCGCGCGGAGCGCGCCAGGCGCGGCGCCAGAGGTGCTGCCGGGGGGGGGGGCCCAACGAGAATCCAAGGCATCCGCGTGGAGCCCCAAGAATTCATGCTTATGGCAATTTTTCTCCTTCGACTCTCAGGCCCCACATCGGCGATGAACGGGCGATGGGGTGTGGATGCGTACCCTCCTCCTCCTCCTCCTCCTCCTCCTCCTCCTCCTCCTCCTTCTCCTCCTCCTCCTCCTCCCCTCCGAACGCGGCCCCGACGCTGCAGCTCTTCTCGAGGAATCGGCCACCGAGGCCTCCGCCACCTCCGCGGGACCAAAAATGTCCACCTTGCCGGCCCCGCGGCCGGGGACGCGCGGCGTCCGGAGGGCGGAGCCTTTGACGACGGAAGACGTAAAGCTACATTTAGGTCGGGCCTGTCCCCCTACAGGGGGATTTTGGGCGAACCATTAAAACATACCCCTCACAAATACTCAAAAATGCTCAAACATACTCCTCAAAAATCCCAGACTATTGTTTGAGTATTTTTGGAAATTCCTCCTGTAGAGGGACAGGCCCGACTTCAAACAACAAATATATCTGAGGTCAGCACGGACTTTTTGGATCTGCGCTGCTTCCCCTCCCTGGCGCGTGCAGCGCGCCAGGGGCGACGGCAGAGGCGCCGCCAGGGAGTCCCAACGCCCATCCAAAGAATCCGCGCGGTCCTCCGCAAAACACGTTCAAGTCAGGTGTGGACGCATCAGCCAGTCTCCTTCTTCGAGAAGACTGGCCGTCGAGGAGATGTTTTGGCGCCGATTGGATCTGAGGGCTCCCTTCGCCGAGACACCTGGCCCTCCCCTGACGGGACAAGCGCGCTCCACGACTTGCAACGCAGCTACTCGCAGATGGCCTGGATCCGCCGCGGGGCACTCACGATAGCTTCCATCGGAGCAGACATGTGCTTCTCGGTGTTTGCAAGTACCGGGGGACCCCAAGAGGGGGAGGTGCAAATCATGGCCGGCGGCATGTGCGCTGCCCGGGGGGGGGGGGGGCAGGGACGTAATGAACTAAGAAGGGGCGCCATGACACATGGGGAGATATCATGGCCCACGCCATCATGTTCACCCCCCCCCTGGCCATCACCCTTTTTGGAGTCCCGAAACGGTGCGGTGACAGACCGTGCGGTGACCTCCTAACCCCAAGAGACCTCACCGCACGGTCCGTCACCGCAGGGTCTTGGGACCCTGGAGGCCCCTGTCGCCCGAGACGTCCTCGCAGAACGACCCGAGTCCCAAAACCGTGCGGTGACCCCGAATCCCCACCGACTCACCGAACTGTGTGGCCACCGGACAGTATGGGCTCCCCATCTCCTCCTCCTCCCTCCTCACCCTCCTCTTCCTCCTCCTCCTCCTCCTT